ACAGGAAAACTGTAAATATATGGTCTGGCATGGTCACTTCCACAGGCTGCAGGTGATATCTACTCTGGTATGAGTCCTCCTTGGCTGCACCACCATGGAGTACCTCCTTTTCCTCCTCTGACCTTGTTCTTCCTCTTCTGTTTCTCACTTTGTCCCTTCCTCCATCTGGCATTTTCTGACCTTTCTTAAATACATCTTTGCAGAGGCATCACCAGCTTCACTGACAAGCCTGTGGTGGGTCCATTACAAAACCCACTGGAACCAGCAAAAGGCAGCCCCTGACTACTCCACAGAAGCTACGTCTTCAACACCACACTACCAAATCCTTTCTGCGTTTATCCCGTACAGTATGGCAAGCTATACCCCCCAAATTCAGCTAGGGGAATGGGATGGAAGAGGAACTCAAGAAGGAGAAAGAGGTTTTGATTCTGGAAGAATGAAATGCATGGGGAGCCCAGCAGGATGCTGCAGGTGGAAAGGGGTTGTGTGGGGGTGATACCTCATGCTGGTGATGTCCGCTATCGCTGCATTAACTCTGCTGGTGATAATGATTTTTCTGGGCAGAGCTGGCCAACTAATTAAGCTGCAGAGAGCCTGCCAGGTGTTCTAGTTCACTGCTTCAGGAACTGCCTGCAATTGCAGCAGTGCTTGGCTATCTCCAAACTAGCTGGAAATAGAGTGGGATGCCATCAGATTCTCTGCCAGGGTGGCCTGGGACCTGCACATGTCTTTGCATCAATCTGCAGCTGAGGGGGTAGAGATGACTTAAAAGCCCTCGGACCCCTGAGGTACATAATGTCTCTGAATCTGGTGCATTAACTGGGGGGCACGACCATGCCCTCCCCTTTAAAGAGAATTTATGATGTGCTTTACATGATAATGGTAGTTCATTATTAACATTTCCAGATCACAGTGTGTTAAGGATACCCTCCCCCCACCTCCTCATTTTCCACTCTCCTATATTGTTTGAGCCATAAAATCATCAACAACACTGCCTTTTGGCTCTGTCCGTGGACAGATGCTGCATTGCTTGAGGAGGGGTGAGGCATGGCTGATTAATCTGTGCTCAGAGAGGCTGGTTGTTGGGATTAGTGCTTCAGATGCTCTTAACATCTGCAGCTCCAGGACAGTCCCAAATTCATCAGCACTGGAAGCCGGAGGGTAGCAGCAAGGCTGGTAAGAGCTGTTATGGGGGGAGTTGCCTATTGAATTGCTGCTGACAGGTAGCAAGACAAGAGGGAGATTTTATGGGAAAGGTGGCTGCCATGCCAGTATCTTGACACTGCCAAACCTGTCATACAGTTTTTTGGCTGTGTCTGTGATTCCCAAGACTAAGGAGGTTGCTGTTGGCTGTGTAGAGGGAGCAAGGCTGAGAAGCCAGGGAGAGGGCTGGAAGGACCCCTCAGAGCAGGCACAATGGAAATGCATTGGCTCTGTAGGTCTTGAAGGTCCAGTTCCTTGTGCTTGGGAGGTAGCATGAGTGAGGATGGCCATTGGGATCTGGCAAGTCCCAGAACTTGGGTTCTGCCCTTGTGGTAAACATAAGGTGCTGCCAAACCAGAGGTAGAAACAGGGAAGGTATTGCTATGGATTTAACTTACGTGGTTATTGTGGTTTGTCTCCCTGTCCAAAACCAGTCCCTCTCTGCTGGTCTGCTTATCTGAGCTGGGCTTTGCTACTCTGGGCTTGCCTCCTTGCTGAGTCAATTTTTTTTTTCCTGCACAAACTTTTTGTTTGTTTTCCTCACAGATTTTTTAAGCCTTTTGTTTCTGGAGACAAATAGCACAAGGAATTAGAAGAGACTTCTGAGCAGACATGGACAGATTACAGCTGCAGGTAAGGCTCACCCGGTGCAAATCACAGTCTTCTGCCATCCTTCAGACTGCCCAGAAGCTCAGGGGAAAGGAAATACCAGCTCCATCTATGTCTAGTGAGCCTGTTAGCTGGGAACGAGCCCCTTGACTATCACTGTGGGGGAATTCCAGGAGGCTATTCAGGATTAAGCCCAGAGAGTGACTGAGCTCCTGGCTTAAGCTCCCCCTGCCTCCCCTTCCTGCAAACAGCCCAAGCTTGCCCCCTCCCAAGCCTTCCCTGGCTGGAGGCATGCAGGGGCTGTCCATCTCATGAGATAATCGCCTCCTGTTCAGATGTTAGGAGGAGATGAAGCTGCTATAAATAGATTGTGAAGCCCTCATGGTTTCAGCTGTGATTCACACGCATGGCAGAGAAGCATTAGGAAGAATTAACAGTCAATCACTCAGGCCCTTTCCTAAGCGTAAATGCCATTCTGTCCCTGTCACTTAATCTCCTTGCCCAGGGGAGGTCAGCAGCACTTTCTGGAGGGTCTGAATGGGTCAAGTGGATAGGGAAACCCAGAGCAAGACTCTTGGTGAGCTAAAAGCAGCCACTTCAGACAGAGTGACTGCACAGCACCTGCCTATGATACACAGATGCATTTAGGAGCATGGCAAGGCGTTCTGCTCCCCTCTCACGGGGGATCGGATCAGATGGTGTGGTTTTGTTACAGTGTGCATTTGCTGGGATGCCTGACAACAGCCTCTGGGACTGAGACAGCTTTTGGTGATGGTATGTGCAGGGGACTGGGGCTCTTTCTGGCTTTACCTAACCAGTGTTGAGATGTGCCTCTGACCTAGCATCCCACAGGGTCTGTGATAGACTGATTAGAGGAGCATGATGGGGCAGGATAGTGTATGTGGGTGGTCTATGTGAAATCCTCATTCTCCCCCACCCCCCAATGCAAGATTTTCAAAGCTTGGGGGAAGAATACAGCTTACATTTTCCCCATTCCCATGGGAAGCCATATGCACTTGTTCCTGCATGTATTTGCATTCATTTGTGTGTACTGAAGTGTTTGATAGCCTCCCTCCCCCTGCCTTGCTGTGTTTATGCTGTTAGCAATGATGGGCACTGAGCAATGTAGGTGAGATGGAGAAACCAGCTGAAAGGGAGGTGAGACCAGACAGGTCCTGGAACATGAAGGAGGTATCTATCTGTCTGTTTGTCTTACAGTCTCCCAGGTACAAGGAAAAAGTGGCATGTTTCTTGAAAGGTAGCTTAGAGGGTAGAGCATCTCCTCAGGGTGATGAAAATCCCTCTCACTTGGCATATTTGGTGCCCCATCAGTAAAAGAGAGATCTCTAGTTTCATAGTACTGCAACAGTTTTATTGCATCACCACTATATTATAGGTCAGAGAATGAAAGAGATGCTCAGAGCACTTATCATCTACAAGACATAAAGAGTAGTTTGGACAAAAGGATGGGAGATCAGTGTTGGTATCTTTCGGTGCTCAGCATCTTGGTTAGTGGTCTAGGGAGTCTGGAGTTCATCAGATGAGAAAATATTTTCCTTTCATCCTTAAGGACTGAGGAGTCAGGGTTTTTCAGTGAAGAAAGGAAAGAGGCAGACAAATGGTCAGAGGGACTGCAGGTTGGTATGGGAGTCCCCTTATTATGATGGGACTACATCCATGAAAGTCACCCCACAACTACTCCGCAGCAAAGACAGCTATATCCTGCTCCATGCTGCAGGAAAACACCATCTCATTGCAGCTCTAGGCAGCATCCTTCAGCATAAACTGAAGCCTGCCAGCATGGGGGTGATTAAAGAGATCTCAATACACAGGGTTCTCCTTGTGTGGATACGACCTCCTGCCTATTAAGGCATTGTATGAGGTTGCTATATCTAAACTAAGCTGATTTTGGTGTCAAAATGGCATTCCCTATTTAGGAACACGTCACTTAGGCTGGAATATGTACTGCATATGCGCTGAGGATGCTGAGGTCCGAGTGGATCTGAAGGCACCTGTATAGTCTTAATTCATCCTTGGAATTTTAATTATGTTATGGAAGAACCTGAAGTAAGCTGCCTTCAGAAGTTTGTGTGGGAATGACTGAGCAGGCTAAAGAGCTTCAGAAATAATTGTGATGTATTTCCATTATTATACTGAAAGTGGATGTGTACCCTAGAGTTTCAGCAGGGGCTAGATTCCTCAGCTAGATCCTTACAAAGCCATAGAGCCATATTCAAGTCTGGAAGTGGCTTTGCAGTTTCCCTAGTTGCGAGTGACAAGGCCCAGCTGAATTGCAGAAGCTTTTACATGAACAATATTGTCTCTCAAAAAATTAAAAATGGGCCATGTGAAAATATGAACAGAGTATTTTAGTCTGTCCCACAAGTGAGTCTAGACAACCTGAAATAGCTTTGGAATGTGGACCATATTGGATGCAAATGGCAGGCCATATGTTGTATAACATTAATTGCCAAACTTTCAAAAGCACCCTATTGACCTCCCACAGTCAGTGGAAGAGCACAGTTCTTGCTTAGGCACCTAATAATTTGTCATCTGTTCCTCATTTTTTCTCCAACATTTAGATGTTAGTATCACCAACCTGGATGGTCTCCAGTGTTGTGAGACCTGCATGAACTCAAAATATTAGCCAGTTTTCTGAAACATGGTATCTATAAATGCCAAGCTTACAGATGGTACATGATATAATGGGAATTACAGGCACAAAATAAAGGGTTTTATAAAGGCAGTACATGGCAACAAATTCCATCATTCATTTATAAAAGCTGGATCTCCTCACACGATATGGCCTGGTGGCTGCCATGAACAGATGCTGGACTGTTAAAAAAGGGGTTGGAAAGATATACAGGTTGAGAAAGAGGAAAAGGCAAAATGTGTGGATATTCTTTTACAAGAACAAGGCCAACAACGTAAGGAGAGCAACATCTTGTAAACATTGTTGGAAGACAAGTCATCTCAGGTTCTGGTTATTTGAATGTGGGTATGCCCAGCTCTGGTGTCACAATAGTACTGGAATTAGTCCATGTCTCTTCGGTAGCTTTATTCTCCGATGTAGTGTGCTTCTTTCACACAGCTGATATGCATAAGAGGCAGTTCTTCTCTCTCTGAGATCATGTAACTTCTGCTTACAGCAGGCGTCCAGCAGCCGGAGTCTCCTCAAGCTCACTGTTATGGAGGTGAAGTGGATTCATATGTTGGTCATCTTCTTCTTCCTGTTGTCTGTTGCAATGACTGGCTGCTTTCTGTGGCAGTACAGCCTCCCCAAGGTGGAGCCCAGTGAGTAGTCATCTTTAATCTTGGTCATGGTTTGGCACAGAAATTTCTGAGACCGATAGATGCCTTTCTCCCCATGAGGACATTTTTCTTCAAAGAGCATTTCCTTAAGCAGCACACAAATTTGCTTCCTCCCAGTTGGTGCGAAGACAGAGAGGAGATGAACACTGGGTTGATGGAGTACCATGTAATTCTCTTGGCATCCAGAGAAGCTCCATTACTTCTGGCACTAACTTACCCTAATTGATATACCAATGAGACATTTTATTTTATATTCTCTATTATTGTCTTTAGCATCCTGTTGTAAAAGTCACTCCAGTTTACAACAGGTTTTGTTTTACACCTTACCATGTGCTTCAGCTTCTGGGTTCTCCCTTTCCTGTTCCCATAATCTAAAATCTCTGAACTGGCTCAAGTCCCCGGTTCACACTAGAACTCCTTCATGTTAATTTTAGAAAATTCAACAGATAAACTTAAGGCACTGAATGCATGAGAATGAAATATATACAGTGTAAGTGGATCAGAGTTTTAAGTAGCCCAAAGTTGGCATAAAAGCCACGGTGAAGGTGCCAGACGTACTTCACAGACCAGTGTCTGAAAAGATTTCAGACCCAACTTAACTGAACTTAAAGTCTTACTTTAGACATATGCAGGGGTCTAAAACCACTATCAGATACCCTACAGAGTCTTCTATAGTCCCAGATCCTTACTCTTCCAGGTTGCAGTCAATTGAAGCCTACTGCAGTTCCTGTCCATCCCATGTCCAACCCATGTTGGAACAAGCAATACAAAGCACAGTGCCCTCTTCAAGTTCTGTTTTATGTGAGATAGAAACAATCCACGATTATCTCTTTCCTGTGCAGAAGTGTCCTTCAGCTTTGGACAACACAAGCAAGAAAGCTAGTGCTGACTACTGAATGAGGTCAAAGCTTGTTAGTGTGTCTATTGAAGTCATATATTCTACCTTTGAAATGTTTTCCAGGACCATCTGTGATGGAAGTGAGATCAGAAGCTGTGCAGATGTGCCCCCGCTATCCTGAACCAGTACCACTGGACCACCCAATCCCCATTCTGAAGGATGCATTAGAGAAGGTCTGTGAGAACGAAACAGAGGGAGACAGCTTCTGACTGCTTTTCTGACATAAAGGGGAGAATATTTTGCTCCTTTGCATCTCTGGGGAAGGAGGTGGGGAATCAAGGAAGTGGAGAATGTGTGAATCTGGAAATGGGTATTTAAAACTTCACTGAACCTACAGAAGAGGTCAATATGCGGTTATCTGAAGGGTAAGCTATAATGAAATAACATTGTCCATCAGAAGCTGTTGGAGATCATACATATGCAGAAAATAGCAGCTTTTGGCATCTTGTATACTATTAGGCAGCCCTCATATCCTGGGAAGTGACTCATGTAGCAAATTCCTGTTCATCAGTGGCTGCCAATTCCTTATTTTATTGCTTTGCTGGCTTTCCCCATGCTACCTTTTAAAAATTAAAAAGCTTCTTGTAGGTAACTATAAGGAACAGAATGAAGGGAAAGGAGAAGAGGAAGGGGACTTGCATGTGAATGAGAGAGACCTGCTTTTCTTCAATATGATATAGTGTCTCTGAAATATTAGCACTGTTTGAAATTCTGGTAGGCTACATTTACAGTGAGGAAACACTGCAGTATTTCCTGTATGACTGTATGGATGACAAGGACAGCCATGCTCTGACAAGACATGCCTGATTTTGTAGACCCCTATCATATGTCTTTTTTTCATGAGTTGCTTAGTTATCAGAGCTGTCCCACAGCTCTGATAATTCTTTTTACCCTTATTTGATTCTTTTCCAGCTCTAGCATACTCTGGTGAAGATGAGGAAAGTCAGTACTGTATACAGTATTCAAGATGCAAGTGGATCAGGGATTTATACAGTGATAAAATGGTGGTTTATGTTTTATTTTATGTTATTTCTCTAATAATCCCCCATATTTGATTTACCTTTTTTTCCTGACACAGCACTAAGCAAGTGTTTTCATAGGAGCATCCATCACAGCCCCAAGAACTTGTTCCTGGGTGCTAAGACCTGTGTGTATGTCTTCTGAAGCTAGGGTTGTTCTCCTGCATGCACATTGCTTTATCTACACTGAATTTCAATTGATATCACTTTGCATTCACTTTTATGAAGTCTCTGCCGCTGTCTCTGGGGTTACTGGAGAGAGTTATTTTATTATTAGGATTAGTCAAAGAGGTGGGGGAATGTGCAGAACATTGAGTGTCCATCAGAGTCATCCAACCTTCCTTCTTTGTGCTCCTTAGAAGTGAAGTATCCAAGTACTTTGACATAGGCTGGTGAAACTATTCTCATTTTGTAGATGGAATAAGGCACAGAGAACAGGAACACGAGATGCAGAGGAAGTCATATGTATTCGAAGGGGGCTTAGGTACGAGCATCTGAAGAGTGAATCTTCAGATGCCCTTAGGTTCTACTTAAGTCTGTGGACACTTGAACCCACTGTTCGGCTGTCCATAGTCTATCACACTGCCTTAGACAAAACTCCCATACTGTGCCAGGCCAGGGACCTGGAAACTGGGACTCTGGACAGTACCAGATGCAATCATATTACATTCAGGGGAGGACTTTTACTTAGCTTGAAACTGGAGAGTGACATTTGTTTATGCATGAGTCTAAAAGAAACATTTATTTTCTAAGAAATAATTCAGCATAAGCAATTCAAAAGAACAGTACAGTTAAAATATTTTCTTTTGCCAAAATACATTTGGAAAATATCACTCTAAAGTGCTTAGAAGTAAGGAGGGCAGATGGTCTGGGTCTTCTACCACCTGCAACAGACTATATGCACTGTAAGACTCTTGATCTGAAAAGTCATCATTTCCCTTCATTCTTCAGGTAGATACGATGCTGCGCCAGAAGATTCATAGCTCTGGTCTCCCTGCCATGTCTGCCATTGTTATCTACAATGACACCGTGCTTTGGACAGGCAACTTCGGGAAGAAGAATGGTTCGGACCCCTCCTCAGTAGTGCCCAATGAATACACTATTTACAGGTGAGACAGATGTATTGCAGGCCTGAGTGCTAGGAAAAGAACGGATACACATACCTAATAACTGGATAGAACCACTGTCACAAACCGCATCTTCTACTGTCTTAGGTCTGCTGCAGAAACCTCTTCTGTGAAAATTTGTGAGACAATGCTTCAGCTAGGCCCTAAATTATCATATGCTTCTGGTTTACTGAGTTGTTCACTTCGGATTTTTTTAAACTGTTTTTAGTTTGATCCGATAATATTTTAAATTGGAATAGCAGTGAAGAACCTGAAAACATACTACTCCTTTCAGAGGAATGTCTTCATGCTTTGGGGAGGCCTAGGGCATACATCTGAAGACAGAGCTAGCACAGATTTTGTGGACAGTGAGGAGATAGTGCCACAGGATAAGAAAATAAAAAATAAAAAAAATTGGTCTAGTGAAAAATGGGGTTTGGGAAGAGTGTCTACTGAACACATAAAGACCTGTACATTTAGACATCTCCCAGTGAAGTCAAAGCCATATTGACCATTACTTTTTAGATGAAGATAGAATCAAGCTTAGTGTGTAGTAAAAAAAACCCCAGAAACAAATACAGAGGAAGTGTTTACTTCCTTTAAAGATCTGTTTTCAGTGCGTCATAACTGTGTTGTATATGAAACATATGGGGTGCACGCTTATTGTCAAATGTTGCCCTCAGAATAAACAATTTTGGAAATTTTCACCAGCTGTGATTACCTGGTTTTTCCCCTTCTGTGTGTCATGATATCATTTTGGTTGGAAGGGACCTTAAATTAAAGGTCATGTAATTCCAAGCACCTGCCACTGGCAGGCATAGGAGAACCCCAAAAATCTTATTGCCAGTCAGCATGATTTGTGGTTGGAACTACCACAGTATTTGATCCTCTGGCTTTTGTTCTTGATTAATTAAAACATTCTTGGCAAATGCTTTCGCTCTAGGCCGTCTTGCGCCGGTCCAAGAATTTCACCTCTAGCGGCACAATAAGAATGCCCCTGGCCATCCCTCATAATCATGACCCTACTTCTGAAAGGCAACAATATAGAACCAAAGTCATACTCCAAAAGACCTTTCGTAAATCTGACACTGTTCTGAAGCCACCCAAATATCAAATATTCTGCATATGAACTGTAAAACTTTATGGCATTTTAACCTTAAAATTCTAATAAACTACTTGCAATTTGTTGTGGTATTTACTAAGCAATAATTTACAAAATATGACATTTTATGAATATTAAATGAGCAGAAAAAGATCTGTAGCCCACTGTACTACTGGGGATATACTTCTGAAGTTTATGTTGTAGTCTATAAAGGCCAGAATTAGGGATATTAATTCAAGCTTCTTACTTGCATTTTAGCCATTCCCTTTTGAATTAGCAAACGTGTAACACGTAAAGTTACAGGCAGTAACAGTCAGTTGGGTGATCCCAACTTCCTCTCACATCATGTTTTTTTAATGCTTGGTGTTTGTTCCTTAACAGAATTTAATCCTAAATGTTTCTTCCTTAATAGAATTGCCAGCATCTCCAAGATCTTTCCCACCATTATGTTGTACAAGATGTGGGAGGAAGGAAAAGTCACTTCTCTCGATGATCCATTGGAACGTTACGCCCAGAACTTTGTAATTAAGAACCCTCTGGGAAGGCTCAAGGAATCAGAACAGAGATACACAGCAGATGGGCTGATATTTTTGGAAAAAGGCTCAATGCCACTTAAGCCATCACCTGTTACCTTGCGCAGAATGGCCAGCCAGCTCTCAGGTGAGAAAACACTGCTACTTGCTTGCCCCCTGCCCACCACTGTACCACTTGAAAGAGTTCACAGACAGAACAGACCATGTTCCAGGGATAAAAAAGGCTTCTGTTGAGGCTATGTCGCCATTGAGGCTATTTCACCTTTGCGCATCCCAGAGGTCAGACAAGACCCTTGGAAGCAAGACGTCAGTAGCTTCATGAAGTGTTAAAAGGAAACGCTTGTCCAGGCCACCTGCTAGGAAAGGGGACAAGCTGCATTGTGGGCTGGCTGTTTTTCCTGGGCAAGGTGAATATATATTTCTTTCAATACAGTAGCATGACTGGAAATCAGGCTCCAATCGCATAAAGAATTTTTGTACTCTAGTCCAGGGTTCTTTCATTTTTCTGGGATATGGAGTTGATGGTCAAAGTGGCATCATCCATCTTTGCTTTGAACAGATGCACTTTGATCATTGAGCTAAACTGAACTGTCAGTGTGGTTTCCGATCTGGGATTCCTGAGCTATTGCTCATAGAAAACTGTTAATCTGCTGCTACCTTCATAATTGGGTAATTCTTACATTAAGGTAAGAGCTCACAGGACTCAGGAGAACTTTAACCTTTCTCAGAAAGCAAGCTGCTAATACTTGACTCAGATATTCCAGAATTTCACGGCCAAAGAGACTGCTGATATCTCATGTGGCATTTGAATTAAACTCTGTAGGACCTGCATTATTCCACAGTGGAATAAATGCCCTAAAATTAGGACTTCAGATCAAAATAGCATGTAGGCAAAATGCAGTACCTCAGGAGAGGGTACAGCATCACCTGAAACAAGCCATATGGAAATAAGGGTTCCCCAAAAAGGAAAGATGTGACTGAAATCTGGAAACAGACAAAGAACCCAAAGTGGCCAGTGCAGGAGGCAGAAAGATGTATGCACAGCTCTGCCCAGCTCCTCCCCTTGAAGACATGGTCTTGCTCTAAGCAGCCTGATGATGCCCTCAGAGACATAAACTCTGCCTCTGACTCTCAGGACCTGAAGCTGGTCTGGGTGCTCCTTGCAGGAGCAGCATGTGCTGGAGCTGCACTTCCCAACTTTGCTGCAGTTCCCTGTCACCCAGTAAGGTGTGAGGTATGCCCTAGAAATACTTGCAGGAAACATATGTCAAAAGTGTTCCTGGTCATAACGTATTTATTTGTAAAGTGCAGCCATTCCATTGCTACCATCACTGTGCTGGATTTGTGCCCCTGCTTAGTTCCTTTTACATTCCTATGTCTTTTGCTTGGACCCTTACAATTTAGTAAAAGGAGAAGCACAGTTTAAATTCCCAATTGAAAATCAAATGAATGTTGAGGTCACATGTTACATTTCCTGTCTGTCAAAAATCAAAAAGGAACAGGTTCTGCTTAATATCAAGATCAAAGCCACTGCATGACATATTGTAAAGTGGTTTTCATCTAAATTCTTCTAGGGGAAACTGATCTATAATATATCCTTATTATCAGGGCTTTTCTTCATTACATATTACAAAAGTAAGTCCAGAGATCCTTCTCTGAAACACTTGATGGGTACATTGCTAGAGAGAAGCTCCAGCTTGTTAAAACTATGATTTTCAAATATATATGAATGGCAGTATGAGACACTATTGTAAATTATTATCAGTATGCTTGTCACTTCATCTATTAGCAGCCCATGCAGTGTAAATCAGTGACTGGATTTTCTGTGTTGCTCACACATTCTCTGATTTATTGTTTCTAAGGAACCTCAAGAGACACATTGCAGTGCTGTCATGTCACTGGTGGTATTTTCCCAGTGGTGCAGCAATAGGAAAGGAAGGAACCCACTGACTGCTGGAAAATGGTCAGCTGCACAAATAACCACAGATCAGAAGCAGAAAAAGTGCTCTCATTCCAGTTCAAATCACAAGGTCAGGCCGATTGAGAAAACCAGCTGTTGCTGCTACAAAAGTATAGGACCTTAGTCAGCTTTGCCATGATTCAACATGTGGTCACTGAGCAGACAACTGCAAGTCATGTTTCTGTCATGTACCCTTCCTGCTTTCCTCCTAACCTCTTAAGCAAAGTCAGCTATAAACTGCAATGAGGATTTAATTCCAGATGTCATCCAGGTCCTTGCAGCATATTTGCTATGTGTCGAAAGAACGTGTGCATCAGTGTGATTTCCATCGTGCTTTTGAATCTTGCCTTTTGCTCACTCTTCACCACAATGGAAGTTTCCTGGACCATGATTTGTCTCAAGATGTTAACTTCTCTTTTCCACTGCACAGGTCTGCCCAGGAGGCTGCGATCTACCAGCCTGCTGTGGAAGGGCAATACACAAGATGCTCTAGCTCTCCTGAAAGATGATGTCTTGGTTGTTGATCCAGGAACGAGGTCAGATATATCACTTGCAAGTTTTAGGTCGGGGTTTGTGTTCTCCACTGGTATTAGCCCCACCTGCAGTCTCCATGGCCCATGGATAAAAGGCAGCTATTCCTAAAGGGATCTTCAGCCAACTAGCCATACCCTATCTTAGGCTGGAAAGAGGGACTGTTGGTGGGGCCTGGGGTTCTTTTAATTTGTATAGAGCCTGAGTGAGAAGCTTAGATGAGGCAAATTAAACTGCTATAGTTAGGTCCAATAAGCCTTAAACTGTGAAAGATGCAGATTTTCAAAAATGAAAAGGCATGTTAATTTAATCGGTTTAAATCTTCATAGATTTTGCATAAAATCATGCTATGTCCATAGTGATTTGCATTTTCCTAAATTATCTAGTTCTATTAAAATTTGTTACCGTTTACATAGCCTGTCAAAAATCTATTACCTGAGTTACAAACACTCAAAGATATGAGCAGGTGAAGGAAAGGCTTCAGACTAACTGGCAAAAATCTTTCTCTAAGTCTGTACAATTTTGAGGGAATAGAATTACATTCTGAACTAATTTGTCTAGGATTGCTGAGGACTCACTATGCTTGAAGTCTTCAAGCTTAGAAAACTCAGTGGCTCGATCACGGTCACCTTGTATGTAGCCACCCTAGTTCTGTCCCATGTCATGTAGGAGGTAACAATAGGTGTCCTTAAAGGATTTTAAAACTTTAATATCACAATCTTCTTTGGTATTTATATTATGCTCACCATTAAAATATGTAAGGACATCTACTCAGATTCTCAACCCCTTATTGCTTGACATGTTGATAGTTCTAACTCTGTCTCCCTGTTCCTGGATATACTTAATAGCTAAGATCATTTTTCCTAAATGAAATTTCCATTCATTGATATAGAAATTTTATCCTATTTTTCTCGGGATGTTTATTTCAGGTAGAAAATTTTAGATCCAGAATGTGTTTATTCTTGGGTAGAAATACGTATGCTCATCATGCTTTTATTCAGCTAGGTGGGCTGGAAATGATTGAAGTGGTACCAAACTTACGATCTAAATAAATTTGATCAGGCCTCAGTGAGATGTGTTGATTTACACAATTAAAAAAATAAAACAAACAAGGTTAAAAACATCATGAATTTTCAAAATATGTTTGAAAAAACTTGCCCATTTATGTCTTCATGCTATTAAACTGTGTTCGCTTTATGGATATTATCACTTCAAATCACTTTATGGATATTAAAGACTGAAGCACTCAAGTGTCTTTGATGACTCAACATTGCTGGATGCTGCTTTGTAGACATTTAAGTGCTTTTAAAGTGCTTTTATCTTAAGGTAGCTTAGGTGCTCAAGTGATTATTACATGTTAAATCTCCAAAGAGGCTTACCTGGGATTTTGAGACCTTTAAGGAAAGCACCTGTAACTCTCAGCTCTGCTCATAAAAAGAATGAATATATTATTTGGTGAAAAATTATAAACAATAAATCAGATATGCAAATACGCCATTTTTTGCATAAAGAAGTTTTTTGTTTTCCATCTCCAGCCCTCTTTCTGTACATAGTGGTTAAATAGTTTTGCTGAAGTTTCTGTAAGAAATTTATTCCTTGAGCTAACAACAAACCAAGGCAACAACATTCAGTTTTTCTCTGTCCCTCTTTCATCTCTCCTCCCTTTAGCATGTCACCTGATAAAATGAGAAATTTTCCCCAGCGAAGGGAGACCTAGCTACTGGTTTTGCATAGTCATACCCACACTGTATCATTGAGGTAAGGCTGATGCAGATATATTCCTCTTCCTTTTCAGATGCCATTACAGTAATTTGGCCTTCTCACTGATGGCGCATGTGCTAGCCGACCATGCAGCTGAGGGGCAATACCAGCGCTGGATCTCGGAGAACATCCTGGACCGCTTGGGCATGGAGGACACTGGCTTTGACATCACGCCACCAATCCAGTCCCAGATGGCTGTGGGTTTCTATGGCAGCCGGCAGCCAGCCCCTCTCTATGACCTTGGCTGGTACAGGCCTTCTGGCCAGATGTACTCCACAGCTGCTGACCTTGCCAAGCTGGCAATGGTCTTCTTAGGTACCTATCACCGTCATCTCCTGGCACCTGACACAGTGAAGACAATGCTCACCCCTCTGTTTAAGTGCTCCACTGAATACTTTGCTAACAAGACTGGCACACCCTGGGAGATTAATGAGCAATTGGGATATGATGTCATTAGGAAGGATGGAGACCTCGATGGTTATTCAGGAACCTTCTCTCTTATCCCCAAGCTCCGCCTGAGCTTCATTGTGCTGATGGCAGGGCCCAGGCCTCCAGGTGGAGATATTGTGACTCACACATACGAGTATCTTATTCCTGCCATGGAGACAGCATTCAGAGAGGCAGAGAAAAGCTTGATGCCTCCTCCAAGTCCAGGCCCTTATGTTGGCTATTATACCTATTCCAACCTGACTTTCTATGAGATCAAAGTTGGACCTGGTGGGGTGCTGGTCATGCAGCAGTTTGGGCCTCACGTGGAAGAGCTGATTCCTGAAAAGTACCGGACAATCAAGCTTCACCACCTGGAAGATCGTGTTTTCCAAGTAGTTTTTGACAAGGAGTTCCCATGTGTTTTGCACCTGGGCTCTGCCTCCATCTCACTGGAGACCCAGAATGGTCAGCTATTTAACTTTTATCCATTTGATCGCAAAGGTTTGTCTCCTGGTTTTGATGCACCAGGGCTGAACACATACAATGTGGTGCGTGTACTTCGTAAACCTGTATTCTATAGCTAAATGTCCCCTACTTTTCTGACCACTTCTGGGGCATGGCTCCAAATCTATTTCTTATCAGACTCTCCTGTCTGCGTGGCTTTATGGCTGTATTTAAAAGGGAAAGATGGTTGGAATTTACTTTTTTGCCCCAAAAATATGTCACATCCCACTTTTAAAATTACTTTAATGGCTTGCAATCCCTGGCAGTGCACAACAGGCCAGCTAGCAACTGAGGATGCTCGCAGAAAACAGAGGTGGGAATGTGCTGGATGGATGGAATTTGGATGTCATTTAAAAAAAAGCAATTAAGTCTCCACACTTACACTGTCTATTTGATGATCATTGTGGTGGTTAACTGGTATCACCAAAGGGCTGAGAATTTCCTGTGTTTCTCAGAAAATCTATCTTCTTCAATCCAGGGCTCTTCAGGAGCCCATCTAACATGAAGAGGATTCCTCACCTGGTTTAGCCAAAAGCATTATGTGCTAGAAAATAGCACTAGCCTACCAGCCCAGCTCATGATAACTGGGAAGTGAAGGTCCATTTCTTTCCTGGATCACATAGACAACTTGAAAAGAGCAGACAGCAATGTGGTTATGTCTTATCTCCATGGATTTCTGCAGAAGCGGTGGTCACACAAAGGATGTTGAAGCATTTCAGTATTAAAGCTGAAGCTTACTCCTATGAGCTGGCACATATGAACATATGCTGGTATATTCCAGCTGGACTCAAGTTTGTGTCTATGTCTGTATATAAGCAATTCTGTGAGTGTGGCATTTAAGTACAGGAATACATGGGATTTTGTGCTTTGGGTTGGGTGCCTTTAGGCATACGTACCCATGAGGGAGGATGCTAAGGGAAAGTGCATTAGCCGGCAGAACTCTACCTTCAGGACGGGTGTACCAGCAAGCAACCTGCAAAGCCACAGGTGCAATTTATTCTCCCTGCTTTTGCCCACTCAATGCCAAGACCGTATCACTGCGATGAGAACAGTGTCAGGCATGAGTGCAAGACAGAGCAAGTACCACTGACTGAGGAGTCTTGGCTCCTGCAGTGCCCATTCAAGTTTAGGAGAATATTGTGATTGTAGCCCTAACTAGACCCTGAAATAAAAGCAAGCAGAGGGCAAGATAACTCCTACCTTAAAATGAATAGCCATCTGCAGAATATAGCAGCTGCTGTACAGTCTGGAAATCCTGAAGGGCGAAAGGGTAGACATACTAGCACAGAGACCCTTCAAAATACATGTTCTCATATACCATAACTGAGTTTAGATTCTCTTGCAGAGTGACTTTCTTCTTCTGCATGTTTACCCAGTGTCTCGAAAGTGGACGTGTCTCAGAGAGGATTAGAAAATTACTCTCCCTGCCTCCCTTCTCTCTTGTCTTTTACTGTTTTCATTCTGTGTGCAGTTCTTCAGCTTCAGTTTTGAGAGACCATCATTGAAGGCCTAGAAATCTATGATTTTCAAACTCGGTTCCCTGCCTTTTTCCAGACAATTTCTGTTCCCTGATAAAGATACAGAATAATGTAAACCTTGCCTTACAGGTGGTCATCATTGCTGCTTTATTGGTTTCCTCTGGACTTTGTAGGTAATTACATTTTATATGTAATATGAAACTCATATGCTCAAGTATTTAATTTGGGCTATAGAAACAGCAATAAACTCTGTGCAATTTTTTTCTGCTGTCATGTATTGTCATGCCCAGAGGTATGTGTGCAGGCAGATATGTTGCACTACGGTTGATTTCCTGTAGAGGTGCCTGTGCTCCCCATGGCATGCCAGGGAGACAACATTGCCTTCCAGGCTTTGAACTGGCAAGATGTAATATCTGATTGCAAGATATTCAAGTAGTCTAAGCCTGGTCTTTTTGAGTGAAGGCTATGTGCCAGTTCAGGGCAGTTCTTCTTGCTTAGGAACAAGAGAAGTGATTGTTTACCCATCAGCTGCCTTCAGAAACTTCCAAGAATAATTATGATATATGATTTATACTCCATGTCACTGTCTGGTCAGGATGACGCACCACTGGAACGTCTCCATCTGTCTGATGGAGAGGATAAGATGTTTTATTTTACTTTTCCATCAGTATTGCAGATACTAACAAGTCCTCGCTTTTCTAGTGAAAAGGAAATATTGGCACTGTACATTGGCACTTTTGGTGCTCTTGTTCATTCTCATTAACAGCAAAGTATAGCTTTTTGCTATTCATAGTGTGAATCCACACCTGAAGTAAAACTCATTTCACTAAACCTCGGGTCACACTGGGAAGGTGAAAAAGAGCATCCTACACTGCCCTTTGTTCGGGCAGGAAAGCGGCCTTACCTGATTTGGAGAGGTGCAAGGAGACCTTGGGACACCTGTAGAGAGGACTTGGCAGAGGCCATATGTGGCAGGCAGGATAAGGTGGAGTTCTGGATGATCCCAGCTGTCCACAGAAAGCAGCCAGAGTTACAATACTGAGCCAGTGCTATGAACACAAATGTCCTATTTCTGTCTGTCGCTTGAAACCTAACAATATCCTAAGAGAAGCTTCTGTGACCTGATATGACCTGACTCACATTAGCAGGTGCTTTATACCAGCTTTACCAGTTCTTCATAAACTTTCCATTTTAATGCAGAATCAAAATTCCCATTCTGAGTAATTTCTTAAGCTTTTGTCTATGCTTGCTGCTGAATTAAAAAATATCCCAATGTTATTTCATCTATGCCAGAGGTTGGCTCCAACAATAGATAAAACAAATTTAAAAGTCTACACAGCTGCTGACTTTTCACAGACGTGGTTTTTTCAAAAGGTGACCAGATGTGTCTGCAGCAGCCTACAGACACAGTGTGCTTAAAAGTGTCTTTATAATTACTCACAAGGGAACCAAAAAATAGAATATGCTTCATTAACTGTCCCAGCATCAGTAAGGGACTAGAATAAAACTTACTCACTGGTTCAGGACAGCAAATTCTGCTCTAAGGAGCACTGGTGAAACCACATAATGTTGTAACAGTGACCCTGAAAACTGTATTTAGCCTACAAGTTAAAAGGCTCTAGGCCACTGAGAATGAGATGATTAATCTCATGGCAAAAGATAAAAGTCTACATCTTAGCTAGCTCCTTTAAATTCCTTTCTACTCATGAGATTTAACAAGTCTAGTCAGTAGAGTGGATTCATCTCCTTTAGAGTATTTAGAGTAAGTTGATGAATCACACTCTATGAATCCTCAGCCTCCAGCTGGTTGAGATGGACCCAACCCTTGCTATCACAAGGAACTCTTCAGTAAGAGGGGAGAGTGTGCACCCAGTTCAGCAGCAGATGAGATCTTGGTAGTAGCCATGAAAATGAGAGGAGAAGAGGTTGTAGATGGTAGGGCTGATGTAGAAGCAGAGTTGAAGAAATAGAAGAAGATCCTTAGCAGGATGTGGGCACTGTGGGAGAATGATGCGTACCAGGTCTGCCTGGTGACACCAGAGCTCCACAGCAGACTCTGTGACCTTGGCTGCAGGACACCCTTAACCAGGCACCAGATATGTTGTGCAAAGGGTGAGAGCAATGTTGGTGGCACTGTTGCCAAGGTCTCTGTGTGCAGAAGAGTCCCAGTAGCAGCTTGCTCTCCTGCCTCTTTGGCTGTGGGAGCAGGGGCCAGACATTCATGAGCAACACAACTGGCGTGGCATAGCCTTGAGCCTGCACCGTAGAGGATGCACGCAATTGGACTTTTTGATGGGAAAGCAAGGAGCGACAGCAATGCCGGTGGCACCGTTGTGGAGCTCAGTGTGTGCACAAGAGGCCCAGCAGCAGCTTAATATCCTGCCCCTTCACCTGTGGGAGCAGGGCCCAGACGTTCATTCCCTATGACCCAGACTACAGGACAGCCTCAACTGGGCACCATAGACAATGTATGCAATTGGACCCTTAGGTGGGAAAGTGAGGAGTGAGAGCAATGCCAGTGGCACCTTTGTGGAGTTCACCATGTGCAGAAGAGGCCGAGCAGAAGCTTTCTGTACTGGCTCTTTGGCTGTGGGATCAGGACATGGATGTTCGTGCTCAACACAACGGGCATGGCACAGCCTCAAGCCTGCATCGTAAAGGATACGTGCAATTTAACTTTTAGGTGGGAAAGTGTGGATCGAGACCAGTGGAAGTGGCACCATTGCGGAGCTCACCGTGTGCAAAATGGCTCAGCAGCAGCTTTCTGTCCTGCATCTCCGGCTGTGGGAGCAGAGACTGGACGTTCATGCTCAACCCGACTGCCTCGGCACTTTTAGGTGGGAAAGTGAGGAATGAGATCAATGCAGGTGTGTTGCGTTAAAAGGTAAGGGAATTTGGCAGAAAATAAACCCCCTTGCGTTCCAGCTGGTCCTCAGATATCAGAGGGGCTGGGTGCATCTAGGGTTAGATTCTGAGTGATGCCCAATTTACCACTATCAGTCCGGTCACATTCAATATACTGAATAATCACGATTCCGGATGCACTAATAGTGTACTGCACCTCCAGTCTGATCGTGCTCACGAACTAACACGGCCACACCGAAGGATCTGGTCGCGTTCAATGAGAGATTTACGACTAGCTACTTAAACAGTGCAGTTTATTAAAGCAACAGGTACAGGTTCTTATGGACTGCCAGTGAAAAATACACTGTCTGCAAAAGCACATGCAAACAATAAGACATACAAACGCGCAACAAAGTTGTGAATAACACAGCCTGGCTTTA